TCCCTCGTCCCCTGTTCCTTTCACTGACCTTCGTACTGTCTTGTTACGTTCTAGTCCGTCTCGTTCGGCTCCTCCTGTGCTTCCTTCTCCTCCTGAGTCGGCCCTCACAGCTTCTCTCTCTACCCCTGTCACTGACTACTACCGCACGTACCGTCCTGTTCTCTCTCGTGTTCTCGCCTCTCTTGTTACCCACCCTCGTGCCTCTTTGTCCTCTGTCTCTGCTCTTACTGCCGCGGTCACTGAGTTTGCCTCTACTCGCCGCCTTGACTACGCCACCACTCTTGTGGCTGCTCCTCCTACCAGTCCTCTGGCCGTCGGGGGTGTGTCTGCCCTTGGCTGTGACGTCCTAGAGGACAGGCAGTTTGAGCTAGAGTTCCTGGCAGCCGCTTCCCCTCATCTCTGTGCCATGCTCCTCACCCCTGAGGGTGACCCTGACGCCCTTGACATTCCGACTCCTCGCACTTACGCTGAGGCAGTGTCAGGGCCTTGGGCCTCTCAGTGGAGAGCTGCCATGGACGCAGAGATGGCCTCCTACAGATCCACAGGCACCTACGTCGATGAGGTTCCTCCCCCTGGGACGAACGTAGTCGATGGCATGTGGATCTACAGGGTGAAGCGGCCACCAGGATCTCCTCCAGTCTTCAAGGCGCGCTACGTTGCTAGAGGTTTCAGTCAGCGCGAGGGAGTTGACTTCTTTCAGACCTTCGCGCCCACCCCGAAGATGACCACTCTTCGGGTGTTACTGCACGTAGCAGCACAGAGAGACTACGAGTTACACTCTCTCGACTTCTCCACTGCTTTTCTTCAGGGTAGCCTACACGAGGAGGTCTGGTTGCGTCATCCCTCTGCCTTCACTGGCACTTTCCCTCCTGGGACCCAGTGGAGGCTGAGGCGACCTGTCTACGGTCTTCGCCAGGCACCTCGTGAGTGGCACGACACTCTTCGCTCTACCCTCTCTGACCTTGGGTTCCAGCCGTCTTCTGCCGACCCGTCGCTGTTCATTCGCCGTGGCTCCACACCGTTCTTCGTTCTGGTTTACGTCGACGACCTAGTTTTCGCCACTGCTGACAGGGTTGCTTTGGCAGACGTGAAGTCCGAACTGCAGAAGAGACACACGTGCACTGACCTTGGTGAGCTGCGCCATTACCTTGGGCTGCAGATCACCAGGGACAGAGCTGCTCGCACCATTACACTCTCACAGTCACACATGGTGCAGCAGGTCCTTCAGCGGTTCGAGCTTCAGCACTCCACAGTACAGCGCACACCTCTTGCTGTTGACCACAGACTCACTGGCCCCTTTCCTGACGAGCCGTTTGAGCCTAGTGGTCCCTACGCAGAGCTTGTGGGTTGCCTCATGTACCTGATGACTTGTACTCGCCCGGACCTCGCCTTCCCTCTCAGCATCCTTGCGCGCTTTGTTGCGCCAGGGAGACACCGTCCTGTTCACTGGACAGCAGCTGTGAGGGTGGCGAAGTACCTAGCGACGACATCAGGCGTGGGGCTAGTTCTTGGAGGGCAGCAGTCTGTTGTACTTACTGGTCACTGTGACTCTTCTTACGCTGACGACGCTGAGACTCACAGGTCTACTCAGGGGTACTGTTTCAGTCTGGGTTCTGGAGCTGTTTCCTGGCGGTCCACGCGCTCCTCTTCGGTCTCGACCTCTACAGCTGAGGCTGAGATCTACGCTGGTGCCATGGCGGCACAGGAGCTGCGTTGGTTGACGTTCTTGCTCGCCGACCTGGGTGAGCGGCCGAGCTCTGCACCGACCTTGTTCACTGACAACAAGGCATCCATTCTCCTTTGTCGAGAGCCGCGACTGGAGAGCAGAGTGAAGCACATTAACGTCAGGTACTTTCTTCTGCGAGAGTTGCAGAGGCGTGGACAGGCTCGCTTCGAGTTTGTGGAGTCTGAGGCCAACACTGCAGACATCTTCACCAAGGCGCTTCCGCCTTGTGACCACCACAGGTGTTGTGTGCAGTTAGGCCTTGTTGACACTGGTTTTCGGCTTACTTAGTCTTGAGTTCACTGCTTGCTTTGCTTGTACCCTTTCTATATATCTCTGTTATTGTTTGGACTGGCCTTGTGGCCATTGTTGCTTGTGCTCAGAGTTTGTGGTGACGTTGTGATCCACCCTGAGCTTTGTTTCTTTGTGACTGGTCTTGTGACCGTACTCTTTTGATTTTGCTAGACACCCCTCACTTAGGCTATGGGGGTGTGTCAAATGTTGGTAGCCTGTAGTGAGATGTGTCTTTGGGGGTACGTATGTTAGGGTTTGCTACTTGTACCCCAACCACCATCAATGAAACAACACTTCCGATCTTGAGAGATATGCCCAAGTGGGCATTAACATCGGCCTCCAGCGATGAGGGGAGCATTGGGGCGTCACCTTCGGCAAAGCCCCAAAACGGCCACGAAGTCGACAAAGGATGGCTACAGCGAATTGCCACCTCGCATATGAGGTTGCAGTGTAGATGCGGCATCGCTTGTTCGTGTGCGAAACCGTCGCTACAAGTCTAAAAAAAAAAAAAAAAAAAAAAATTTCTGATGTGGCGGAACTTGTCAGATTTGCAGGCCGTTGCAAATTGGCCGGAGCTTTGACGAATGTAATTCGACCACGTTGTCGACCTTCAAGAAGGATTTTGTAGACCATATATGGTTGACAAAATTCGGCCAGAACTGGTGTTCGTGGATCTTACACCTAACGTGTTGTCAGTAAGAAAGACACTGTAAACGAGAAGCAGTAACAGCAGGGAAGCGAGGACCTTCATGGCGAAGTGACACTGCAGCTTATCGCACCGAACGTGTGGTTTCGAGCACCTCCACCTGGACAACAGAATATGGAGTACTGTACCGAAGCAATCGATACCCAACTCCCAAGAAGGGATATGGCGTTCCGTACAAGGGAAGAGGGTATTGAGTTCGTGTCCGTAGGCTTGACATGTCAAGTGAGGGCGTGTCAACCCGAAGCGCATTCAAATTAGCGTGTCAAACATTGTAGCTGAAGTGTCAAGTCGAAGCGCATGTACGAACATCAGCGACGGAATTTCATTGGTTTGAGAATTTGTCATGGGTGGATCTGCCAGGTAGCGAACAATTCAAAAGACAGATTGTGTGCTGATTGGGCAGCATCTGGTCGTGAGATAGGCACCTGCGACCATCTTCTCTCGTTTGTAGGTTTGACTGTGCCAATTTAGAAAGTGTCCGACGATTTGTATTGGATGGCAACATGCAATTTCTTGACACCCTGCCAACAATGTTGGCTGAGTGTCAAAATGCCAAATTGACACTGCCCGCTTTGACATGTCATCCCTACGGACACGACCTGAGAAGAGACCTTCAATTTGAATGGTCGAAACGGCACAACAGCCCGAAAACCCATCAATCCAACTTCGAAGAGTGCATTTCAGGCAATGTCGGACTGAGGTGAACTATTTCAGGCCCCAGGCCTTTGGAAAAGATGGCATCACTACGTTAGCTGTACTGCGATCGAACAGCTGTACCCTCATGTTGAATCCTCGCTGTACCCTCAGCGATCGAACAGCTGTGCCAATGTTGTATCTGCTGTTCGATTTCCTCCGCGAGTGCATTGAGGGTACAGCGAAATCTACAGCTGTACCTGCTTTCACGCCGAAACTAGTGTTGTACTCTTTTTTCAGGCCGAGGTCAGCGCGTTCGTCCTGCGTTCGTTTACGGTTCCGTCATGGTGGAAGACATTTCCAGACGGTGGACAACGGTAATCAGAATCCACTGTTTAAACCGATACCAAACGAGTAACCGCACGGGTCGAACAAGGGACGAACGCACTGACCTCGCCTGTATTATTGAAACCTTCCTTCGTCTGGGCTGGACATTGCCAGTTTTTTCTGCATTTTTCGCCCTTGTTTTCTGGCAAGCCGCGTCTCCCGCTTTCTTTCAACTGTCATGGCGCAAAACTCGGTGTTCGTCCCTCTCTACTTTGTCTGCGGCGTGCTGGTCGTCGTCGTGTTTCTCGCTTCCGCCGCTGCGAGTAGTGCCTACCGTGTGGCGGATGACCATCAACAGCGCATTGGACGAGCCTTTTCCGTGATGCCCCGCTTGCCTCCGACGAGCCGTCGTTCGCGCCAGGTGGCTGCGTCTGTAACGCCGCCGCCGAGTCAGGCACGCATCAAGCTCCAGCCGCCGCAATGTGAGTGCTTTTTTTTGTCGCCGAAGGCTTCTGGGCCGCGCAAAAATGGCCGAATCACTTGCTCTTCTAGTACTATATAATGATATTCTAACAGCAGGCCACCCCGAATGTAGATTTCAAGGGGCCCTTCCTCGTTACTCTTGCCACAAATGTCGTTCCTTTCTTACACTACAGAGTACAGCAAAACGTGGAGACGCCTATTCAGGCGACCAGTTCTTGCCGGCCAACGGTCCCTGATGGCTGGCAAGCCCCATGCTCATCCCCTCGTCCTGCCTTTCCGTCCCCCAAAACACCTCCCCACAGTGGAAGCACTTCTGGCCCTGGACCAGGCACTATTGGCTCTGTGGAATAACAGCGCGTCAAACGTGTTCTGTGACGAGTGGGGCCGCTTTGCCGTGAAGTGTAACCAAGACGGCATGGTTACTGGCCTGTGAGCTTATGATGAGATGTTGCTGTGCACTTTGGATAAGGAGGGCAAGTGAGGACGGGGATAGGGGAAGGGCTGTTGGCAGTATGGACGATGGATTATGGATGATGGAAGAGGAGCAGCATTGCAAGGGCGGACTGACTGCCCATGCCATGGGAACGTGCTGGCATGAGCCAACAACCCGAACCGACCCCACCCGACCCGTTTTGCTTGACCCGTGTCTTGCATTGCGGACGGGGTCAGTTCAAAATTGCGACTATGGAGAGTGTTTTCTTTCTTTCGTTCGTTCTCCTTTTTTAGGTTTAAGAAGCGTACACCTTACTTTTGGAACCAATCTTCAAAATTCACTCTCATCTAGCGTGCCAATGCATTTTTTCCCCTGTTGGCACGTGCGTCTGTACACCAATTCTTATGCATCCCATTCCAGTAACCTCGTGGGCATGTACCTTGATGGAACACTCTCTTGCAGCATCAGTCGCCTCACTGCACTTCAATCCCTGTATTCTTCCCTCACCTTCCCCAACCTCCTCTCTTTCCTCCCACCCCCTATCCTCCTCCTCCACCCCCAAGCTGGCAAAAACATCATTAAACCTCGTGTTGACACTTTGCTTTTGCTCTATACACTTCCCAGCCGCTACTCCTCTTTCTTCCGTACTGCACCTTTTTATTGCAAGCATGTAAACCCTTTCCCCTAACTCCCTTTCCCTCCCTCTGCACCGCCCCAACATGCAGGCGCATTGGAGAACCCCAGGCTGACTTATTTCCTTATGCATACCTTACCAACACTCCAACAGAGTGAGACTGGTGGGGATGAATGGAATGTGGCTCTTGCTGCCTGTTGGTGCATGCCATGGTATGCAGTGGTGCATGATGTGTGTCAATCGCCATTAAACAGGTTCGCAGGAGCTGTAGCAGCATAGCGTGGCTACGGAACAGAATACTGTGTATGGCCAGGCGGTCAGTGGCAAATGTGTGAGTGCATCTCGAGAACTTGATTCGAAGAATCACTTGCTGATGTGATGTGATGCGAGGCACCTGGTATTGAAGGGTACGGTGCGGTGCAGCAGTGCAGCAGGGAAGCTCATGTGACGATTCCATCCATGTGCGCACACCTTCCTTGCCGCAGCTCACTGCCTTATAGTCTCCTAACGTGCTCAGTTCCCTCCACGTGCTCATTGCTCCATGCACCCACCCAAATGGGGCTTCTGCTCCACCGTTGCTGCTATGACTGCTGCTGCAATTTGAGACTTCTCAAAAGCCCCTGCCGCGAGTGCTTCTGCTGTGGCGCCCTTACACACTGTGGGCAAACGCAGCCCACGGAAAGCTAATCACTCCCCCCCATGGCCCGTCTCCTTTCACCCTGCCATCCGTCGCTCTTTCAGTCTTCTATCACTATCCATTGAGCCGCTCGTTCCCTTGACTTGGATGCAAGGCTCTGTGGGCGACCTCTCGTGTCTCGCCCCACTCACTCGCCTCCAGGACCTGTATGCCTCGCTTCTTCCCACCCCCCTTTTCCTTCATCTAACTCATCCCTACCCGCCCTCCCCTTCCCTCTAATCGAAGTCATTCCTACTTGTTGTTCTCCCCTTCCCTCTAAACTAACTCATCCTTACCCGTCCTCCCCTTCCCTCTAATCTGACTCATGCCTACCGCCTTTCCTCCCGTCTCATTCTTTCCTACCCGTCTTTGCATCCCCTCTCAATTTTCACCTACCCGCCTTCCCCACCCCTCTCACTCATCTTTACCTGCCATGTCCTCTTGCTCTGCCAGCACCTGTTCTTATTTGATGTGCAACGGTCAGTCCAGCAGCATAGCTCATGAAGTGAAGTCCCCCTGCAAATCGCAGCATCCATCCAAGTGGCTCGCCGCCTGCTGCTGCCCCTCTCCCACCCACATTGAGCGCTGCAGTTGCCCGTGCTTCATTCACTCCTTGTCACTCTCCCACATTCTCTCCGCTCCCTAAATTCCGTCTGTCCACTTCACCAGTGTATTTCACCCTCTCTCTTTCACCCTTGCCTCTCTCTCTCTTCCATCCTCACTTCTCCTCAGCGCTCTCATGAGTCTGAACCTGACTGTTGGAGATTTTCCTTCCTCTCTCTCTGCACTTACTTCACTCTAGCACCTGTAAGTCTCTCGAGTATCTTCCTTGCTTCTCCTTGAGCGAGTGCTTGGTATACTTTTATCTCATGTTTGTGCTTTGTGCTGGCAATCACCAAAGCACAACCATGATACGAAAACTGAAATTTGGGAATATGCACACGGACTTCTCCACGATTTCACTACACTCCACCACGCTACACTTACAAGTGAGTTGTGTAAGCACACCTGACGAAATACATCGAAACTAGATTGCTGCTGCTGAGTGCTAGCTTCAAATATCTATCAAGCCATTTCAAATAGAGGTAAGGGACATTCAATAGCAAACCTCTGACGGTGTCCCAACTTCGGATGGGGTCCCTGCATAGGGATTCGCCCTAAGTCAAAATCGGATTAGGAGCAAGGGAGTACGATTTCCTTTCAAATTTTCATTGCTCTCATGATTGAACCATCAATACAATTGCATGGTTGATCCTGCAGGGGTCAGCAGGACATGAGGATGCGCTCACCATCTCTCCTCTCCCTTCTCTCCTGTATTGATTGCAGTGACCTAAGTTTCCTTCCCATCACACGCTTACCGCAATGGATCGCTTCCCTCTCCAAGCTCACTTATTTGTGAGTGGCACCATGATCCCCTCGCCCCACCCAGTCCTGACTATCATCAGTTATCAGCACTTCCTTCCTGTTGCACCTTGCCAGTGCTTTATTTGGGATATGAGAGGCCAGCGCATGTCCGCTGTGCGGGTTTAATCTCCTCACTCTCCCTGCACGCAGCACCGCCTGCGATTCTCTTGCTACAGTCTTGCCACTTGCGCACTCACTCTATGCTTCCATAACTTACTGCCAGAGCGTTGCCACTGTTTGCTAGAAACTGGCTTTAGCTCGCTCGAGCGTTGGCGTTTTGAATTTAGGGATGGCACGATATCTAGAGGGATGGCACGATGGCTAGAGGGATGGCACGATGGCTAAAAGGAGAGATTCATATGTATGATATGCCACTCGCAATGCTCTCCCCCCCCATGCCTCTCAACCAACTGGAGTGCCCCTTGCCCGCCCTACCTTCCTGTCGTTGTTGCCCTGCAGGGACGTCACCGGAAACTTAATCGTCCATCGCTCTGCACCGTTCCCCACCGAATGGATGGCACTCACAAGGCTGAAGTCGCTGTGAGCCATCCGCCATGTCAAGAGCACACTGTCTTGGATTGACACCTGCTGCTGCTCACCTTACCACCCAGAGCCATCCGTTCCTTAAACTTCCCACCAAGAATCACTGGGCTCATCGTTCCTCTGCCCGTCCATCCGCGCATTGCCGGATGGGCCACTCAACCCAACTCCGTTGCCCTCCAGCTACCAATGCATGCGTCCCTCCCCTCCTCTCGCCTTCCCCGTGCACTTCCTCCAGGCGGGCCGGTCTGAATGGCTTCACTGGCTCGATCCCCTCCACCATCTCCGCCCTCACCGCCCTCACCAACTTGTACGCCTCCCCTTCTTATCCTCTCTTCTCTTCCTTACTCTCTCCCCTTCCCATCCACTCTCCCCTTCCCATACTCTCTCTCCTTCCCATCCCCTCTCCCGTTCCCATCCGCTCTCCCCTTTCCATACCCTCTCCCCTTCCCATCCTCTTTCCCCTTCCTTCCTCTTTCCCCCCCGTTCCTCTCCTTCCCGTCCCTCCACGAAAACCCCATTAAAAATGCAGTGGTTGTAGAAATAAGGAAGAGTATACCTACTATACGCTAAAGCACCAGGTTGTGCGCACCAAGGTGAAACATCCGATTGGATAATGGGCTCTGAATGAATTTCTTGCGCAGGCAGTGATGATGGGTTATGTGGTGATTGCGATTCATCTGGAGTTACTGCACTTCACCCACTTAAGCGGTTCGTGTGGTGAAAACCGGCTCTTTTTTTAAAATTAATTCTTCCTGTGGCCATCCCCCTTCCTCCCTCTCCTCCACGCAATGGCCCCACCAGGGAGCTCTACGGGAACAACATCTCAGGGAGCATTCCTGCTGGCATCAGCAAGCTACTTAAACTGAATTCCTTGTAACCGCCTGACATCTTCCCTTTTGATTTTCCACCACGGCTTCCAACACAAATAAGCACGGCAAGAGATTGCCATGTGGTTGATTCAAGGCGAACCACATCCAGGTGAATCAAGGCAAGGTATGGTCATCTGCTCATGTGAGTTTACTATTTTGTCCTCTGTAGCTCCCCTTGGGTGTGTGTGCTATTGTGTCTTCTGCATATCACTCCGACCGCTGCTTTTCTTTCAAACTGTCTTTTTCGTGTGCTCTTTCAAATGTGAATTTCACGAAAGGGCTTACCCTCCGTAACGTGCCGACCATGTGTTGTGGCATAGTGCAAGTCTTTTGCAAGCCGTTATGTAGAAAAGCTACAGTGATGACAAGGCCTCGCAACATCAAAAGCAGTCATGCGTTGCGTTCAATTCCTCCCCCTTGTAGGGAATAATTCCATTGTATGAAGTCGCTGCATCGCACTGCCACTTGCCATCCACAATATACGTGCATGTCTTGGCCTCTCTCCACACACACGTGTCTGCCTGCCTCCACACATCACAACACAGGGCGCTTGGCTTTAACAATCTCACCGGCGCCGTTCCTGGCATCACTCGTGCACCCCTCTCATACTTGTAAGCCTTCAAGGCCTGCCTCGCATGGCACGAGCTCACGCGTGGCATGGATTGCACCTCCATGTGGCACCTTGCATGCTGCGTCTCAACTCAACCAAACAGAATGAGGTGCTGGAGGATATTGGGCACTCTCTCTCATGCCATGCTTTCTCACCTCCGTCTGGCAACTTTTGAGACGTCTCGAAAGTCGAGTTCATGCAGACGCCCCTTGAGGTCAGCCTATTGTTACTTCAGCGATGTACGGACGCCCTTTTGATTAAGCTTGTATTCATTCTGTTGCGTTGCATTCTCAATAGCACAACATTTGACCATAATAGCATGCGTACAATTCTCTGAAGCTTCTGATATTCCTACTGGACTTCAGACATAGTCCCAGCGAGCTGCAGTCTTAACTAGGCTTAGGTAGAAGAAGACAGTACAAAATCCGCCTATACTAGTTAAATCTCAAACAAAATTCCGAGCTCTTTACTTCAGCAGTAGAGTAAAACAAACATGTTTTGGCCGTTAAGGGGTGACCCACCCATAGCAGGCCTTCATCACTGCTAATGACATATGCAGAGCTAAGCTAAGCTTAAAGAAGAAACAAAGCCTCAGAAAATGCAATCTCAAGGCTATCCACACCAGGTCAGACCGGAAACAGGGATCAATCCAGAGCACCCGCGCAACTCTCAGGTGGCCACGTCTTCAAACCTTGGGGGCATCTTTGTTGAAATTTGAGTTCAAATCTTTTCCACGCGGCAACTTTGAAAGTCGCACGCATGCCAGTAACCTGTTGACGATTCAACCAATTTGCCGTGCAACAAACAACTTCTCGATGTATTATCCGCGTGAAATGAGCTGTGTTTTGAGTCGCGTCAAAATGTATTTTCTGAAGCTTCTGATATTCCACCGAGGCAACACTCAGGCACGATATTGCCATATGTATCCCAGCCCTGACTCGTGATTCTCCAGTACAACAGCTGAACCACACCGCACGCCCCCTGAAGTGTGGCAAAGAAGCAAACTCCCCCCTACCTTACCGTGCATGCCTTCACATCTCCCCCACATGCCCTCCCGTCCACACCCCCTCCCCCCACTGTGTGCAGAGACCTCTCCTGCAATCAACTCACCACCATACCTTCTACCTTCAATGGGACGTCTGTGTAAGTTCTGGGTGACTGAGATCACATTGTTCCCTTTTGTGTGTCATATTTTCAGTGCCTTGTGCCAGATAGTTGGAACATTAGCATGAGCCACCTCCGCCCTCAGTCATGTCTCTCAGCCTTGTATATAGGACCCTTGGTTGGTGCCCTGTTCGGCTCATTCTTCCCGTTTCTGTGCCATATTCATGGTGCCCTGGCGGTTCTAGTCACAAGTCGTCCTAACACGATGATAGGGGGGGTATAGGCCCAACCAAGAACAAGAATGCTGCACGTCTACAAGAGGAAGGAGGGACCAGACTTCCACACACGACGAGCATCGCACTCGTGGTTCGCCACATTAGGCGGACCACTAACGCAATCGTGCCAGCGTTCCGCCTCTCTTACAGGGTGACTTTTGAGTCGACTCAAAAGTCAGTGGTCCATCTCTCGTGCAGCAGGTGGCCTCTACCACACTTTGGATGATCCGAATTGGCTTTCACGATCTGCCACTGCTGCAAGGTGATCCCTCAGAAAATTAGCGGCGGTTGTGATTGGATCGACCGACCACAGTTGCCAATATTTGGAAGACCTATCACGAAGGGTTGCCCTGGCGCGCATGTACGACGAACATAGTGTTGAAGCCCACATGTTATCCTGGCAGTATCTTTCTGTGCCTGGCCTTGCCCATGCTGTGCCGTGTCTTGCCATGCTTTGCCGTGGCATGCTGTGCCATGCCACGTTAGCCTTTTTAGCATGGAAGAGAGCCGAGCATGCAAGCGGATGGCGTGCTCCTGGCTATGGGATGGTGCAGCAGCACGGAAACGGAGGTGGAAGTTCATGCGGCATGCAGTGCACATGTCACATGTGCCTTCTTCCATCATGCCATGGCCCATGGGTCACTAAATGCTCACTCCTCGGTCCTCACTGCAGCTTTTCCCTTCTGGGACAATCAATGCATGCATGTTACCATCATCTCACTCCCTTCCACCATTGCCCATGCGCTCTCTCCCGCGCCATGGCTCACAACCAGCTTCAAGGTCCTCTTCCTTCTGCCCTCGTTTCCACTGATCTCGCTATGCTGTAAGTGTGCCTTGAAGTTGCTTGGTCCTGGTTTGGTCGGAGGGAGGCAAGTGCGTGTGCTGAAGTTGGCTCTTGATTGATTTTCCTCATTGTGTATGTGCCATCGTAAACACTTTCATACACCGCTGGTCATGCCCCCATCTTCATCCCATGCAACCCATGCATGCCTCCACACAGACAGCTGCAAGGCAACACATTATCTGGCTCGCTTCCCAACTTCGCGTCGTGGAAAACCCCTCTGCTTCGTATACTGTGAGATCATCGTCTTGTTCTTATCATTAAACACTTTATGTGTCCTTTGGATTTCCTTTTGTATCTTCCCCCATTCTCAGAAAGGCATATCTGATTTAGAAACCACGAACCACATCTGACTTAGCAGCCACAAACCTATCATCGCATGGCTCTGGGAGCTTGGAAGCCACACTTTTTACCAGGGATACTCTTTCCCTTGGGTCCTTATTCCCCTCACCTGCCCCCCTCCACCATGTCCCCTCCTTACCTTTCCCACAACCACCCACCCACCACCACCATGGCCCACTCAATCCCCAGCAACGTCAGCGACAACCAGCTCAGTGGCTCCCTCCCTGACTCCATCTCCCACCTTACATTGCTGCAGACACTGTGAGCCTTACTCCATCTCTTTCTGAAAACAAGGAAGCGGTGCTGTTGTGAAGCAGGGAATCTATGAGGAGGGCAGGGATGTTTGAGAAGGCACAATCGCTTGAGATTTTGCATACCTTGTCTGGTCCCAGCAACACTGACAGCATGAGCTGAGGTAGCACTTTTGCTGCATTCCACGATGTGAAATCGCACCAAGGATCATCGCGGACAACATTGCAAAAAGCTTTTGATGTCTGTTTGCTGGTATGCACGTGTGACATGGCATGGCATGGCGTGGCATGGCATGGCATGGCGTGGCGTGGCGTGGCGTGGCGTGGCGTGGCGTGGCGTGGCGTGGCATGGTAGGGGGCTTGGAGGCAACAATCTGAGTGGCGTCATATCTGCTAGCCTGGGCGGACTTCCTGTTCTTACATACCTGTGAGTAGCACGACAATTCCCCATCCACCACAAGCCTAAAGGTGACTGCTCTCCCCGCACTGCTCTTACAGCTTCCATCTTTCTTGCTAAGGTCTCGCTGTTACTTATATCGAGAATCCTCCTATTCTGTCCCCTTGGATTCGAACCGAATGGCAGCATAGTAGTGTTGAGTTGACTGGCGTCTTTTCTCCATGTACTCCTCTGTGCCCCTCATCCCGCCTCTCACGTAGAGTTCTGAATTCACTTTTGTAAGTAAGCCTGTATGCCTGTAATCAGATAACTTTGTCTTCACTTGGCATTTGGTATTGGACCGAAAGCTCACAGAAATACTACATTCTGGCACAGTTATTGCACCTATTTGCTTGTCGCACACTAGTTTTATGCCAATATCTGGCCATGAGTGTGTACGTTTTCCTCAATCATCCCATCCTTCTCCTCCCACACTCACCCCCAGGAACGTGTCGGGCACAGGGCTGACCTCTCCAGACGGCAGCAAGTGCATGGTGAAGCAGAGCAACACCACCGGCTTCTGCCGCCTCTGCTTCTCCTTCTGCTCCTCCTGCACCCCCCTTGCTTGTAAGTCTCCATGCTGCAGTGGCTGCCCACACACACACGCGCACGCATAAGAGCGATGCCACATCAGCTCCAATCAAACCTTCCAACAACGGCTGTTTGGTGGAATAGGCGTGCTTTACAGAATCTGATCAAACGTTCCAATCTATGTCTGTGCCCACATCCCAGTGTCGGCGCCCACAAAGGATCCGGCATGGGTGACAGACGCACCGCCAGCACCGCAGGCACGACCGGCATCTGGTCCTCGCACGCTCATTACTGCTGCCATTAACCACTCTACTGCTGCTGCCATTGCCGCCGTCTTGCTCCTGGTGTTCGGGATGTGAAGCGTAGAATTTTCACATGGTGGTTTCGTATCGATTGTTGTGGGTGGATGGACTTGAGGTAATGAGACCACAAGTCTAGAATAGCATACTCGGAGTTATCTTCAACTCTACCATATGTGTTGAGATATTGCAGTATTCCATACTACGATAGATATGCTAGTGAAGGTCTGGATTTTGTGGCTACCTTTAAGCGGGCACCAGGAATATAATTATTCTAGGTTGGAGATTTACATGTTACCTAATCACGTTTAGTGTCAAGTCAATGCATATGTATATGTCGAATTGTGTGTTTCCTTATTGTAGGATAGGTCTAACTTTTAGGGCTAGGGTTTGCACTTGTTTTCCCTTGTATTCTCCTTTCACTCCTTTGTGCCACGTGCTTCACAAGCCCATTTTGCCTCTCACATAGAATTCTAGATTCATTTCTGTATCCAAGCCAGTAACCAATTATCGCCTTATTCACATGCTATTTGGTATTGGACGAAATGCACGTTTTGCTTGTCGCATACAAGTTTAAAGTTAATATCTGGCCATGAGTGTGATTTTTTCCCTCAATTATCCAATCCTTCTCCTCCCACACCCGCCCCGAGGAACGCGCGCGTGCGCGCGCGCGCGCGCATGTGTGTGCGTGTGTGCGTGTGTGCGTGCGTGCGTGCGTGCGTGCGTGCGTGCGCGTGCGTGCGTGCGTGCGTACGTGCGCGTGCGTGCGCGTGCGTGCGCGCGCGCGCGCGCGCGCGTGTGTGTGTGTGTGTGTGTGTGTGTGTGTGTGTGTGTGTGTGTGTGTGTGTGTGTGTGTGTGTGTGTGTGTGTGTGTGTGTGTGTGTGTGTGTGTGTGTGTGTGTGTGTGTGTATGTGTGTGTCAGGGCTGATTTGATCAGGGTAATTACCCTGATTTTAGGGTGATTACAGGCTTTTCACTTGGTGGTTCCTGCAATTACAGTTTTTATAACTTGTGAACTCTGATCCAATCAGATAAGTTACTTAACGAACCCTGAAATCTTGTAACTAGGCTCACAGTAGTGTACTTGCGGACTCTGTCTATGTAGAGTACGCGTTCGGTGGACTCTGAATGCGAGGGTATCGGGACGAAGGTTCCTCAAACTTTCCTTTCGATAACCCGCCCTTGTGCGTAATCATTACTTCGCGTGCCCCCATGTGAGGTAATTGTTCACGCGCATGACTGACGTAGTACCGACAATGAATTACAACACCGTGCTGTACAGCACAGCTGGAAACTCCGACAACGCACCCAAATCAATGATACGTTGCTGCCACGCGCACCGTGCAGTGCACAGCATGCCTCTGCCATTGGCGAGAACGGTATGTTGACAGTATGCGGTGGCAGTCCAGCAGTCCTTGCATTCAAGGCCGAATTCATTGACGAATATAGCCATCAACTTTGTGGCGTCGCGCCGCGGTGGTTTCTTGATGACCTTGCCATCTCCAACCTTCCCTTCCTTCCCCCTACCCCTAGCCATGCTGCCTTCGCTTCCTGCTGCTTTCTTCCATTTCGTGCGTTCAGTCTCACACTTTCTCTCGCTCCATCTTTCATCTATCTCGCCGCCATAAAGGGCCTGCCGGCCAACGAAGCTGCTCCTCAGACTGGCCTTGACGAGCCACCTTTACCGGCAAAACTGACAGCGCCAGCCCAGCCGGAGAAAGCATCAGATGCTCCCCGCTCCGGGCTCGATTTTCTTAGAGCTACCGGTGCTCCGGTCACACCAGAACCTCCTAGGTCAATCGTTCATGACTCTGCAGCTAGAGTAACCCACACTCCGTCTGATTGTTCCCGTCCTGTCGCCTTCACTCTACCCCCGGCTGTTGCTTCTTGCAGCAAAGATCCCCCACCGCCCTCGCCTAGTCCCACTCCAAGCACGGTGTGTGTGTCCCTTGCCCCGCCGTCGGCTTCTTACACTCCCAAGCGAGCGCGATCTAGGAAGTGGGCGCAGAGTACGGTCGTCGGAGGCCGCCGTATTCCACCGCCTGACAAGGCGGCAGATCCTCCACCCAATGACGCTGAGCTGCCGGAGGAAGTTGACATCCTTGTGCGCGCGGTTACCGGCTCGTCCGAACTCACCAAGATGCAGCTGCGAGAGCAGATGTACCTGGAGGCAAGTATAACTATGAAACGAAGTGGTTTGGATACTTCTCTTGGCTGGTGTTTTGGAAAACCAAGGACGGTTTTCCCTATGTGAAGTGCAGCATCTGCATGTCTTACGGGAAGGGGAACACGAGGTACGCCATGCAAGGCGACGACGGCGGCCGTGACTTGCAGACGCAGTCGTTCAGGGCGCACGAGCATACGGACGCACACAAGGCGGCGGTGGATCGGCAGTTGAAGATTGCAGCGGGCAAGAAGGTGATTTCAGACTTCGTCAACTCTGACGTCGATGGGCGGCGCGCGATTTGACTCATGCGGTCCATGCAGTTTCTGTGCTAGTGCGACGTGCCGAGTAGTATGTTTCTAAAGCTGATGCGCCATCTTGCGGAGCAGGACACGCCAGACATTCCGCGACAATCTTACGGCGTGTATCTGACACGGTAAGTAAACTTCTCGTTAGGTTGCTGCATCGAGTATGTTGCTTTGTCGTTGTTTGTTTGTACGTTCCTTACCATTTCATTGTCCTCTTTGCAGATACGGCTTCCAGCAGATGGTTCACATCATCAGTACATAGTGCATTGACATTTCCCACTGACACTATTCTTTTTGCGAGGCCGCTTGTGTACAGTAAAGTGAAGCCCACCAAATCGGCTCAACCAAGCTCTCCGCCATGGCTCCTTCACGAAACTTCAGCTCAACAAATGTCAAGCTTAACCCAACCCGTTCAGCTATCTGAAACTATTTTCCGGATCTACTCGTCAAGTGCTTCTTTACGGCACCAACATTGTGTTCATACAGAGAACATCGGTTCGTCTTAAAGTCACTTGAGAAGATCTTTTTTTTTCAGGTTAAAGCTGTTTTTAAGCTAAGACAGGGTTTATTCCGAGGATGCTCTCAATGGTCGAGCTCTTGTCAAACCGTCACCCCGCATGGGACGTGAATGAATCATTTCCAAGAAATGTCAAAAACTGCAAGTACAAGGAAGCTGGACAACAGAACATATTTCGCCTATCAGTTTTTGCTGCCATCTACCATCAACCATTGGAGAGAAAGAAAGCCTGGAATCAGGTCAAGAATCGGGCTTCAGACATTGATCAAGTGTTTACAAGGACAAAAGCCATGGCTGGATCTATTTCAAATCATCAAGGAAGTTATCAAAATCAAGGAAGGCATCAAAATATTATTTCGTGTTCTTCTGGTCAGCATGAGAAGTGCCTTCTTAAAGAGTCAGAGAAACGGCAGCTGACTCTTAAAACGTCCATAACGGCTACATCTATAATTACTGAAGTGTTTGAAGACAATGAGGCCTTCTCGCCAGAAACGTTTAAGCTCAAAGATTTCTGTTTATCTCACCCGTTCAACGACCTTGCTATTTCTCCTAAGACTTCGGAAGACGGAACGAAAGGTATTATTCGAGATGGCGATGGTTGGAAGTTACAGGATGATCATCTGCAACTGCAGGATACTGATGGGAGATTTATAATTGCTCAACGCCGCAAATTGCTGCATTGTTTTTCTGAAGGTGCTCGGTTCTCTGGAGAAAAGGACATCAGTCAATAGCGTCGCAGCTTAGTGCTCGAGCTAAGAAGACAGCCCTCATGCACGTTCGGGAGGGACAGAGCGGGTGCAGCGGCTGCCTCATTCTTTACTCGCCGTCACTGTTACAGGAAGTTTCAGAAGTCTGGAGTCAGAACCACTCTCCACCGCTCTAGGAACCAAGCAAAAGCCACAGCAGCCACAGTTCAATCAAAGCTGAAGGCAACAACGCGGCAAGAATGTGTGGACAGGTTTCTACCATATCTGAAGTGTGGCAACTGCGCAAAGAAAGCTTCAAACGGGCAAGATAAATTGCTTAGGCTTTTGACTTATAAACCTCCGTAGGAATCTGCGAGAGTACGGTAGACACTTACGCTACCTATGCCCTCTAGCTCCGGTTACGACCGATGGTGTTTTGCGTTGTACGTTGTATAATGCTAATTCACCTACCAAAAAAAAAAAAAAAAAGGTACATAGTGCATTTGGACCACATCCTGACATCCCCCTTCCTGGGCATCAGCTGCGACGAGAGCACCGACCGAACGCGAGGGAAACACATGATTGTGTACCTTACGTTTTTTTAAGAATCGCCAAATCACATGCGAGTTCTTTACCTTGCTGACGGTTGAGCGATGTGATGCAAGGTCTCCGTTCGATGTGCTTCTGAACCATTTTCGCTCCGCAGCTGTCGATGTGTCCAGGATCGTCGGCATCAGTACGGATGAGGCGTCGGTCATGATGGGGAAAGACAACTGATTGGTGGCGCGTCTTCGGGAACACGTTCGGCACCTGTTTTCATATCACTGCATCGCCCTCCGGTGTGTATGAAGGATTTAATAAGGTCTAGTTTACTACGTTTATGGTTTCTAACATCTCTTGATTTGTATCCCTTGCGACCGACAGTGAGGCTTTTGCTGTGAAGGACGTTGCTGAATCAAACCCGGACCTCGGCATGGTCGACAAGGTGGTGCGCACAGAGGCGACGCTGCTCGGAAACTCAAGAGAGTGGAGTCAACGGTTTAAGTACCTACAGCGAGTGATCTACAAAACGAACCTCGAAGTCCAAGGAATCTACACGGTTCGGTGGCTGTCACGAGGTGATGCGGTGCGCAGGCTGTGCAAGGTCCTCGGCGCTTGCATCGTGCTGCTCTGGGTGCACAACCACAAGGCCTACGAGATTGTGATGTGCTACAAGTTCCAATTCTGTTTGTTTTTCCTCGCCAACATTCTGGCCGACATGAACGACCTCAACCGTTGCTTTCAGAGGCGTGATGTGAGGTTATATGCTAGTATGCTGTTGAGATCTGTGGACTAATCCTCCACTGTTGCTAATCCTACTCCCTGTTGTCTATGCCTACTCTGTGACAGCTGGATGTGACTGAGATTGCAAAGACCATTGAGTCGACCACGGGTGACCTGGAGTATCGCTACTTGACGACAAGCAAGGCGTTCGGGGGCGAGGGAAAAAGCTGGCTGGTCAATTTCCTCAAGGTCCACAAGGAGGGTGGAGGCAAGCAGGTCCGGGTTCGAGGCTTAAATGGAGAGGCCACCCAATCATCCACCTGTGCACCATGCATGAGAGGAAGCTCAAGGGCACAAGCATGGAAGCACCTACGCAGATTGCGTGAACTTGTGCCGCCAATTCGCCCGCGACCGCGTGAACAACCTCAACGACCGTTAGGAAGACCTTGGGAAGCTGGGTCCGACGAAGGTGTTCCGGGCGGGGAAGTGGCCGAAGATCAAGGCCCAGCGAGAGAAGAAGTGCAAGGAGTGGCTGCATGGATGCAGCAAGCTTTTCTGCAACAAGCTGCTGGGATTCGACCTCAAGACAGAAGAGAGGGAGCTCCGGACATTCTGCGCGATCATGGAGACACATCATCATATGGAGAGCTTCACCAAGGGCCTGTCCAAGTTTCTGGGGAGCGCTGACTCAAACAGGTAGCCCTCTGTGCGGGTTTATGATTTTACCACTTGTTGCTTTGCATGTTTAACGGTTATTTCCGCTGTGTGGTCGAGTGTGCTTGGCAGGAAATGGCCCAACCTCATCCTACTGTGGCAGACGCTCGCTGTGCTCCCCCTCTCCACCATAGAGTGCAAGAGGGATTTCTCCAGGTAGAACGTCATCAAGTCCTGGGTGCGAGGAGCGCTCTGCAACGCGCGTCTGAAGGAGCTGATGCAGATCTCGCTCCTTAAGTATAAGGTCGACTGGCCGGAAGCACTGGAGGTCTGGAGATCCTTGCGGAGGAGGCGGCTTGCGAAGAGCCTAAAGCTGGCTGTGGCAGAGAGGGAGAGGAAGGGGAAGCAGAAGGAGGGTGAAGATGTGGCTGCTGGAACTGCTGGGGAGAACGAGGATGAGGGGGAGGAGGACGACGACGACGAGGTGGAACAGGACCTGGGCGACGATCAGGAGATCGTGGGGGAGGAGGAGAAGGACAACCCTTTCCTAACGGTCGATGAGGACGTGGAGGAGGTGTACCACATTGACAAACCCGTGCACTAGATAGTGTAGGGAAGTTTCAGGCTGTTGTATCACCCATTTTGAAGTGTAGTGCAAGGTTAATAGCAGCCCTGATTTTGAGCTGTGAACCCTGTCGGATCAGAGTAGGACTTTGCTTGAAACAAAATGTGCCATCATAATCCAAGGGGAAAATTTTCCCTGGGATCAAGGAAGCCTAAAACGAAACGTAAGACCTGGTGTGTGCGCGTTCGCGCACGCGCGTGCTTGCGTGTGTGAGTGCATGTGTGGGTGTGCGTGTGTGAGACTGCGTGTGAGATACATGATAATGGCAAAAGAATGTGTGCTATGTGTAACCAAGCGTTATCAAATATTTACTTGAGGTTTTCTTAATGAAAAAATGGTTAAATGCATTCTGTTGACCATGGTGTACCCTTTTGGTGGAACCCCGCAAAAGCGTCTTATTGGTGGTGCGGTCACATTGGAGGCGAAGGTCTCTACTCATTTTGAGTAACTCCTCCGTTTGACAGGTTTTGTGTGGGAGTACTTTGATTGTATGCGGGGTCCTAAGATATACACCCATATGTTGTTTCCAAGCATCTCTGCACTTTCTCACTCCCACCGCGTTTTATGCGCTTGTCTTTTCTGTGGGAATAGGCGTCCGAGATTGTGTGTTTATTCAGTTCAGATTGAAATTAGGGATAGGTCGGCGTGCTTAGAATTTCTGGTGAGTTTTACATTGAATTCTTCCAGGGCACGTTGAATCTGGGCGGGATGCTAGGAACGAATATAGCCCTCATTCTGTCGTGTTCGAATACCATTCTATTCGACGGAAACTCTCGGAAATAGCAACCTGAAAAAAGGAGGCCCACAGCCCAACTCTCTGGCTTTTCGCGCTCCGGAACGTTCTGCTTAGGAGGAACGCGTCTCGGGGCGCGCATTTCTCTCCGCAACTTCCGCACACCTCGCGAGATCCAACATACACCCAGCACACCTCCGCTCGTTCATTCCAATTCGTCTCATGCTCTCCGAATTCCTTCAGCGACAACCCATATTTTCTTTCCTACCACCACTTCCAGTGCTACCCGTGCTACCCGTGCCTGCACCTCCTGCTATTGGCACAAGCCATTCTCATTCTTGGCACGCGCCACGATGGCGATCACGTCGCGACTCATCTTTCTCGCCGCACTCCTGTTTCTCGGGGAATCGCTGCTCTCTGCAGAAGGCGTCCGGCGGTTATCGACGAAGCCACTTTGGAAGGCTCTTGAGTCGACTCAAAAGTACCCTCTGCCCTCTGCGAAAGGTCGCGGGCGTACTAAGCCACCTCAATCTCAGACTGTCGATTCACCCGCCGGGCCCATTGACGCGATTTTTGTCTTCGGCGATTCGCTTCAGGACGTGGGAAACAATAACTATGGCAAGTCCGTGCTTCAGTTCAACATTCCTCCGTACGGAAAGAACTTCATTCCGGAGTCAGGTCGCGTGAGCGACGGCAAGCTCGGCATCGACTTCCTCGGTAAGCGGCTTCGCTCTCAGCGAGTGCTTCGGCTCTCTTCGCTATCGTTTCAACCCCCCGCTCCGTGATAACACGGGCTTCCTTCTCTGGAACGAGTGGGTGTGCTTGAAATAACCCTGAAAGAAGCGACCGAATCATCTCCACGTTACTCTGAGACACTCGTACCAACATTTCTTCACATACACCTCTAAAATCCCGCCGTACCAATTCTCCCTCATTGCTCCTTTGTAGCTGAGTGGATGGGCTTTTCCGCGTCACCTCCGCCGTACTTGGACCCGAACCGGAACGCTACGTTCGGAGTCAACTTCGCCAGCAGCGGAGCGTCATTCAACGTCACGGGATACGTAAGTGCCGCAGCATCTAAAGCTGCATCTCGCGTCCCGTATTGCATTTGACCCGTTTTTGCACCGCATCCCTTTACAGAAAGTCCACTTCCATGCATCTACCAATTGTTAAATACTGACAGTGAGTAGTACCACACTGCACCGGTAACTAATACCAGGGACCGACTTGCCCGCCTTCCAAACAGAACAGCTGCATCGAACCTACTTTCTCTCATGCCTCCTTCCTCCTTCCGCTTCCCCCCCCCCACCCCCCCCAACCTCCCCGCCCGCCAGACCTTCCCCGCCTTCCAGGCATCACAGCAGCTGGAATGGTTCGACAAGATCCAGGCGGACGCGGAAGCCGCAGATGGCGCGGACGCGAGCCTGCCCTCCCCTTCCGTCTTCTCCACAGCGCTCTACGTCGTGGGGCTCGGTTCTAACGACTACTTTGTTCTCTTCTTCGGGGAGAAGATCGACGAGACGACGCTCCCCAGGATCACCGCGGGAGGCGCAAAGCAAGTGCAGGCGTTTGCTTCGTCTGTGGTGGCGGCCCTGAAGGCCTACGTGCAAGCTTTGTACAGCCGCGGCGCGCGGCGGTTCCTGCTGTATGAGATTCCGCCTCTCGGCTGCCTGCCGTTGTGGAGACAGGCACTGCAGCCGGCGGAGAAGCAGGGGGAGTGCGTGAGCGCGATGAACGCGTACGCGCAGGAGCATAACAAGCAGCTCGCTGCTGCTGTTGCTGGGCTGCAAAAGACTCTCAAGGGCTCCACGATTCTTCTCGCAAAGACGTATAATTTTACTGCAAACGCCGTTGCTGACCCGGCCTCTGTTGGGCTTTTCGGAATCAACGCATGCTGCGGCGGCCCGCCTCCTCTCAACGGCCTTGTGCAGTGTGGCACGACTGACACCATTGGTGGTTACAAGATAACCGCGACGGCGTGCTCCCGCCCCCAGGACAGCATCTTCTGGGACCGCCTGCATCCCACTGAGGCCTTCAGTCGTGAGCTGGCCAGGAGCATCTTCCTGGGCGGCAAGGAATCGATTGTGCCTATGAATCTGCGCCAGCTAGCGAGCGGCGCGAGCGGGGAGAAGTAGTAGTGACGAGCGGCCGTGGTTGTATTGTGCCGTGTTTTCAATTGTTGGTGGGTGTTGCTTTTGCATGGATTATTTGTGGTAGGTGCCTGGTTGTTAGAATATGGAGGTGCAATACATGTATTCATAGCCCCGTTTATATTTTGCACAATCAGAATGGGTTGATCTGTTCTGCCCGTACGACATTAGTTGATAGGATTCGCGAACATCAAACACCCCACTGATGTGTCACGAATGGTATATCTCAGCGGACAAACGACTTCGTTCGGCGGAGCTCGCTGCCCGCGGGCAAAAAAGGAAAAACCCATCCGGGCATGCATACGGTCAGGGAGGCATCAACTCTAAACACCTGGAGGCATGTGTTTAGGGTTGATGCCTCCCTCAGATGGCATGCCATCCGATGCGGTTTTAGTTTTTTCCTGCCCGACGGTCAGGTCGACGGCCCGTCGACCCTCCGTTGACCCAATTCCACTGAGATATTCTGGAGCTATGTGGGATGGTACTTTAGCTTTTTTCAGAAGGCTTCAACTTCGGTCATGTGGCAGCATGTCACGTCCAAGATCGATGGCGAAGAAACCGTTTATATATTTGAGTATTCATTTCCAGTCTATGTGCTTGTTCTGAACCAGATCTCGTTTCGAAGTACCTTAACCGCCAGAGCAAGCAATGGTCACAAGACCAGTCAAGAGAAGAATCAAAACGCAGCTCAGGGTGGATCACAAAGTCTCCACACCAGGCCCTCAGATATCACGCTGATTAGGCTGATTTTGTAGCTGTGATTTTCGTTTTCCCTGAAATTTCAGTATCTTCTTTATTTTTTGCACTGATTTTTCAGCTTAAAGTTTAGGACCACTCTGACGAATTAGTGTTTAGGTGCATCAGTATACGGTACTGTATCGAGTCACACTAATAGGGTATGGGTGTACTGGGGGGTGTTCGGCCCAAGAGTTCCGCAAGAGGACTTCGCAACCTCCTCACAGCGCTCCCGTACATAGGAATCGAACCGGAGATCTTCGCGGAGACAGGTCGTAACTTTAGCCGCTGCGCGAGTGGCACCGATATTTTCCGCAGTAATAATCTTACAGTGGTTTATCAGTTTGCCTTGGAAATTCACACTGACAAAATCAGCATAGATTCAACCCCCAACGCTGATTTGGACACAAATTTGGACAGTGCACACTGATGAATCAGCATGCCCTAAAACCAATCTGAGGGCCTGCTCCACACAGTCCGAGCACAAGCAAATGGTCACAAGACCAGTTCACATGCAGAGTTATAAGAAACACATGCAGTACAGTGATCACAACCTACCAAGAGTAAGCAAGCATGTATATATATAAAGTTTACCGTACAAGGCAAAGTCAAGCAATAAGCAAGTGAGGCAGAGTAGGCACAAGGCCTACAGCAGTGCAAAACCACTGATGATCACCAGACACAAGTGCCTTGGTGAAAATATCAGCAGTGTTGGCCCGTGTGGCCACGTAAGCAAGGCGAAGCTGACCACGTTGCTGCAGCTCTCGTGCAAAAAAAGTAGACAGAGCAATATACTTAGTTTTGTGCTCCTATCGGTGGTCCTAACATAAGGCAATCATGGCCTTCATTGTCGACGTACAGAACTGGAGGAGAACTAGGCCACTCTCCCAAGTCAGTCAGCAAGTAGGTCAGCCAGCGTAACTCCTGTGCAGCCATGGCCCCCGCGTAGATCTCAGCCTCACAATTGGAGCTGAGAACAGAAGACGAGCGGGTAGACCGCCAAGAAACAGAACCAGTGCCGAGACTGAAAGTGTAACCCTGTGACGACCGCTGAGTCGCCTGGTCGTCCGCCCAAGAAGCGTCTGAGTGCCCAGTGAGCACAACTGGACCCCGTCCTCCAAGCACAAGCCCCATGCCCGATGTACTGCACAAGTAACGCAGTACCCTCTCGGCAGCTGTGCAGTGCTCCTTACTGTGTCCCCCGGGCGCGACGAAGCGAGCAAGGATGCTGAGAGGGTACGCACGGTCAGGTTGTGTCAGGCCCTCAGATTCGTTTTTGGGGTGTCTGATTCCTCAGACTTGGTACACATATTTTGTCTGATCAATCAGACTTGGTAAAAAAAAAAAAAAAAAAGGAAATACATTTCAGAGTTCACTTGTATAAGTCTGATAAAGAGAGTTCACATCAATAATCAAGCTGATGGATCAGCCTAAAACGGGGAGATATCCTCGCAGCAGTGCTGCTTTCACTGGTTCAGCGTGACTGACACGACAAGTTTGTACTTCTAGCGCTAATCGCGGCTGTCAGGTCAGAGTAAGTACTTGTTAAAACGCTCTTGGAATCAGAGTACACTCATGGAAAACTCTGAAATTTTAGAGATAGCCTAAAAAAAAGTCTGAAACTTTCAGAGTTGAGGCCCAAAAAACTCTGAAAATTTCAAAGTACAAAAAAAAATATATATATCTGAAATATCAGAGTTTTTCATGCAAATCAGAGAAAAAAGTCTGACTTCTGAGGGCCTGGGTCGTGTACACGTCATTAAGTACATGAGGCAGCCCACAAGCTCTTAATAGGGGCCACTCGGCTCTACGGACTCGTCCGAAGGTGGAGTTGAGAGCGAGTGCCCTGTAGGCAGAGGAGTGGGCTGTGGCGAGGAGAACTGAAAGCCGAAGCGCTGAAGGACCTGGTGCACCATGTGTGATGTCAGAATGAACGGACAGGAATGATTGAACTAACAGTGAAATCAGTACAAGTACCTAACCCTAGAATTGTGTACCCCCTATAGGCTAACCCACTGTAGCCTAAACAAACACAACATATATAATGTTTGACACACCCCCATAGGCAAAGTGGGGGAGAGCAAGGGGTCACAAGACCAGTCAAAGCAAAGCAAAACAAGCTCAGGGTGGATCTCAAGGATACCACACAAATTCCGAGCACAAGCAAGTGGTCACAAGACCAGTTCACATGCAGGATGATAATATAACAAGAGATACAGTGATCACAACCTAGCAAGTGTAAACATGCAGGCATATATATAAAGATCACAGTACAAGCAGAGTCAAGAAGTAAGTAAGTGAGGTCCAGCAGGCACAAGGCCTAGAAGAGTACAGAAACGCTGATGGTCACAAGGCTGAAGTGCCTTGGTGAACACATCAGCAAGGTTGGCCTCAGTGGCCACGTAACGCAGACGAAGCTGACCACGCTGCTGCAGCTCTCGAGCAAGGAAGTACCGCAGGGCGATGTGCTTCGTTCTGTGCTCCAGTCTGTGCTCCTCACACAAGGCAATGGCAGCCTGGTTGTCGACGTACAGCACTGGAGGAGAACGAGGCCGCTCTCCCAAGTCGGTCAGCAGGTAGGTCAGCCAGCGTAGCTCCTGGGCAGCCATGGCTGTGGCGTAGATCTCAGCCTCACAACTGGAGCTGAGAACAGAAGAAGAGCGTGTAGAACGCCAAGAAACTGAGCCGGAGCCAAGGCTGAAGGTGTAACCCTGAGACGACCGCTGAGTAGCCTGGTCGTCTGCCCAAGAAGCGTCTGAGTGTCCAGTAAGTACAACTCGGTCTCGCCCTCCAAGCACTAGCCCCATGCCCGACGTACTGCACAAGTAGCGCAACACCCTCTTAGCGGCATCCATGTGCTCCTTCCTGTGACGGCCAGGAGCGACATAGCGCGCAAGGATGCTAAGAGGGTATGCAAGGTCAGGTCGAGTGCAGGTCATCAGGTACATGAGGCAGCCCACAAGCTCTGGATACGGGCCACTCGGCTCTACGGACTCATCCGAAGGCAGAGCTGAGAGCGGGTGACCGGTAGGCAGAGGAGTGGACTGAGGCGAGGAGTACGTGAAGCGGAAGCGCTGAAGGATCTGCTGCACCATGTGTGACTGAGTCAAGGTGATGGTGCGCCGTGCTCTGTCCCGGGTGATCCGCAAGCCAAGATAGCTTGTCAGTTCACCCAGGTCTGTGCACGTGTGTCTCCTCTGCAGCTCCGACTTCACGTGAGCGAGTGCCGCGGTGTCAGCAGTGGCAAAGACCAAGTCGTCGACGTACACGAGGATGTAGAACGGCGGCAGTGAGGTGTCTGTGCGTAGAAACAGTGACGGGTCAGCAGTAGAGGGAGCGAACCCAAGAGCCGCAAGTGTCGTGCCACTCACGCGGTGCCTGGCGGAGACCGTAGACCGGCCGCTGAAGCCTCCACTGGGTACCAGGAGGAACCGACCCAGTGAAGCCAGGTGGGCGGCGCAGCCAGATCTCCTCGTGCAGGCTGCCCTGCAAGAAAGCAGTGCTGAAGTCAAGTGAGTGAAGCTCGTAGTCGCGCTGAGCGGCTATGTGCAGCAGCACCCGAAGGGTGGTCATCTTCGGGGTGGGGGAGAAGGTCTGAAAGAAGTCAACTCCCTCTCGCTGACTGAAGCCTCGAGCCACGTAGCGCGCCTTGAAGACAGGAGGAGAACCCGGCGGCCGCTTCACCCTGAAAATCCACATGCCACTGACGATGTTCGCCCCAGGTGGGGGAACCTCGTCGACATAGGTGCCTGTGGACTTCCAGGAAGCCATCTCTGCGTCCATGGCTGTCTGCCACTGAGAGGAGTAGGGACCCGCCATCGCCTCAGCGTAAGTGCGCGGGGTCGGGATGTCTGGTGCATCCGGGTCTCCCTCAGGGGCAACTAGCATGGACACGAGGTGGGGTAAAGCAGCAGCAAAGCACTGGAACTCCTCCTGTCTGTCCTCAAGGACGTCCGTGCCAAGAGCACACTCACCCCCGACGGACGGAGGACAGACAGACTCAGACTCAGACTCAGCAACAAGGCTAGTGGCGTAGTCTAGACGACACCGGGCAGCAAAGTCGATCAACTCAGCGACCAGAGCAGACGCAGCAGAGGACTCAAAGGTAGGGTCAGTGACAACAGTAGCGAGGAGACGGGTGACAGTGGGACTGGCAGCATGACGGGAGTCAGACTCCGGATCAGGAAGAGTAGGCAGAGAGGACGCAGGAGGAGACGGCAGCGGGACACGCTGAGGAGCAGTGGAGGGAC